GCTGCATTTGTGTAACCTTGCTTGCACAAAAAAGGAACATGCCTCAATAAGCCCACCACCATATTTCTAGGGCAGTTAGGGGTGGGCAAGAAATACTGACCCACTGTGTTGCTGAAATAAAAAATGAAAAAATGGCAGTTCAAGCAGATGCATCTCCTTAATTATGTTTTTCTGAAATAGCAGTTCTCTGGTCATATTTGTGAACTCAACCTTTGATGAAGCTGTGACATATTGCTTGATCATTTAATGTATTTCGATATTCTTTGCCAAATTGATGAAGTGCAAGAAAAAATGAATAATGAAACCATCCTCATGCTAACCATATTTTCTTCTCCATTTGAAGATTTTAAAATGCAGATTTCATGTCTGAATTACTCATACTCGGAGGAAAATGTAAAAATGCTGTCAGTCTTAAATATTGAATATTTATGAAGTAAAATCAAAGATTCCTGACAGGATTCTGAAAAGTCTGTGTTCTGTCAGCCCAGCAGCAATGTTATGTTATTTTCATCAAATAAATTTTCACCACCCCTTGTTTTACCCAGTGTCTCAGCAACAACTTGCATTTGTATCATGCCTTTTAATGTAGAGAAGAATCTCAAAACGCTTCATGAGACTGTTTGCAAATAAAGTTTGAAACTGAGCATTTTAGAAAGTATTTGGACAAGCTAGCAAAAGGTTGATTAACGAGGTAGGTATTAAGGAGCATCTTAAAAGATGAAAAGCAGAGAGGAGGGAAATCCAGAGCCTAGGGCCTAGGCAGCTGAGAAGAGAAAGCTTGTTGGGAGAACAATAGTATAGCCAAGTTAAGAAGTGGAAAAGCAACAGCATTTGAGCTGAGGTTAAGATGGAGTTGGCCAATCTTATTTTAGTAGGATTATGTAGCCTTGGTGATTGAGAGGTATTGGGATCACAACCTCATTTCAGGGTCATATAGAACATCATGTTTTACAATAATTTTGATACAGCCTGTAATTGGCTGGGGAGAGGGATGGATTCAGAGGTTAGGGAACAGACCAGTTAGTCTTATTGTCTGAGGAAATTTCTTCCCATCCATTAATAGATGTCGGGCAAACAGGAAGACAAATTGGCAATTGTGGTGAAGTCTCAAAGCTTCTCAAAAGTGTTTTAGAGACAATTAATCACTTTTGAGATACAAACACCTATTAAGTGCTGCCTTTCACATTGCGATTATGTCCCAAACAGTGTTGCATTAAATTGATTTACTTTGTAAGCTGTTACAGAAGTTTTGCAGAAAATGGAGCAACCAATTCACACACAGCATGATCCTTCACAAAGCAATGGGGCGGATGGGTGTTTTACAAACAATTGCTGGTTGCAGAGGACTGTTGCTGAATATTTACAAGACCGGTGGCTCAGTGGTTAGCACTGCTGCCTCACAGCACCAGGGATACGGCTTTGATTCAAGCCTCGGGTGACTGTCTGTGTGGAATTTGCACGCTATCGCAGTGTCTGTGTAGGTTTCTGCCAGGTGCTCCGGTTTCCTCCCACAGTCCAAAGGTGTGTAGATTAGGTGGATTGGCCATGCTAAATTGCCCCATAGTGTCCAAGGATGTGCAGGCTAGGTGGGTTAGCCATGGGAATTGCAGGGTTACAGGGATAGGGTAAGCGGTGGATCTGGGTGGAATGCTGTTCAGAGTTGCTGCAGGCCTGCTTCCAATTGGTAGCGATTCTATGATTCTATAAATGCCCAATTTGTTTGTTTTGATAGTGTTGAGTGGCAGATAAATGTTATCAAAGACATTCTTTGAATAGTGCTTCGTGGTCTTTCATGCCGAAATGAATAGACTGACAGGACCAGGTTTAGCTTCTGTCCTGAAGGTTGACAATTCCGAATTGTTAAATGTAGCATTCAAACCTGCGTTGAAGTATCTTCCTAGATTACTTGTTTAAATATTGGAATGAGACTTTAATCTACATTTTTATAACTGAGACATGAAAGCATCAACATTGTAGGGAATGTGGTAATCATAGTAGGCAATAAGATAACTGCCCAACAAAAACAAAGTTGCTGGAAAAGCTCAGCAGGTCTGGCAGCATCT